GCCCATAACAGAACATAAAAGCTGAGCGCCTTTCTGGCAGATTAACAATTCTACGATCTCTAGTTTCAGGGTCTTTAAAGAGATAAACCATGGGATAATGAACATGTATGGCAAAGATATACTGCATGTGCCTTCTTGTCTTGCCCTGAAATACACTTCAAAACCCTTTTGTATCAATCTAACTGGTCTTCCAAACTGAGCTTTCAATGCACTTTTCAAAACAAAATATAAACATGTGCACTGGCAAAAAATGAGTTACGTTCTGTTTTCATTCAGATTTTTTGTTATTTTGTTTTTCAGGATTCAGGTCTGAAAGTCAATTCGTTTCGAAATTCGGATTCGGGCGAAATCCGAATTTTCTTTAGCAGTAGTATGTACGAATTTTCATAACGAAAATGTGGATTTTTTTTAAAGTTCATGCTTACCACAATAAAACTTAATTTAGGAAAGAAATACGGATGCATCTGAAATGTTTGTTATCAGAAAATTGTATTCTTTTTCATTTGTTATTTCTGTCATTCGGAAATTTAGATGCATCCGAATGTACGAATTTCTGAAAATTCATTAGAATAACCAGTCTTTCTGAAACAAATCGCACACATCTAGGAAAAACTATAGTTGCTAGTAGGGATGCACCGATACCGGTATTTCGGTAACAAGTACAAGTGCCAATATTTGTTTTCTGTACTCACCGATACCGAGTACCAAAAGTCCCATTCAGGAAGCCAGGCGGTGTGTAATGACTCACCACCTGGCTTCCTGATTAGCCTGGAAGCCGGGCAGCGTGTAAAGATTCGCCACCCGGCTTTCCGATTAGCAAGAAAGCCTTCCCCATGCTTCTCGTCACTATGTGATGAGAAAGCATGGAGCCGGGTTGCTGGCCAATCATGGAAGCCGGGCGCCATGTAATGACGTGGCACCTGGCTTCCTGATTGGCTGGGAAGCTGGCTCCATGCTCCCTCGCCATGAGATGACGAGGGAGCATGAAGCCGGCTTCCCGGCCAATCAGAAAGCCAGGCGCTACGTCATTACACAGCGCCCGGCTTCCTGATTGGCCAGCTTCACCGGCCAATCAGGAAGCCGGGCATCATGTAATGATGCGCTGCCTGGTTTCCTGATACAGGAAGTATCAGGCCAGGCATAGGAGCATTTGGGCAAGTACGAGTACTCGCCCAAATACTCGATATCGGCATCAATACCGATACTAGTATCGGTATCGGTGCATCCCTAGTTACTAGCCAATGGACAGCCTAGGGAAATGTGTCTCTATTGGCACCTGTGATTCTAAAGAAGAAATCTGGGACAACAGTTTTCATTGTTACTTATACAATAGAACTTGGGCATACCTAATTATAAGATGATTTTCTCTCAATTTCTGAATTTATTTCAGCCGGATATATTAAACTAGCTGATTTTCTACACTAGACAGCTAGAAGAATTTGCTTTCTCTGCCTGCATTGCTTTAAGATGAATGGGAGCCATACTATGGCAGCGCCTGCCCCGACCATTTAATTACCATGACTGTCATTTGAAGCTTTTAGCCAGGGCAATCGCAGATAAACTGTAAGAAAAATCTTTGTTTTTATACTATATATGAATTCTTCTTTTTACTAACACAATATAATATCTCTGAATAGTGTTTTTGGCACATGTAAAATATTGAGATTTACATTTGTTTAGGTGTATTAGATTACATTGATGCTAATAAAGCCCCAGATTAAATGGTAAATCCCATACCCTGATTTGAATATTCAAAAGTCAGTGTTCACAGAGTTATTATTGAAAATCAACACTTCTTAGAAAGCGGATCCAATTTTAGCTGCCATGTTTGCCAAGTTATAATACAATAATCTTTCCTCAGTTGGGCTGCTAGACCTAGAAAATGATTATATAGCAAAATATGCAAAATACAATTGGAGCAAGCAGTCAGAAGATAGTCACTGAATAGGAAAGGATAAGAATGACAACTTCATTGCCTTCACCTTTAAAATCAACTCCAATGTCAGCTCATTTTAACACTTTGTGAGTTTACTGTATCCCTAGAGAAGAATTAAGTGCTTTAAAATGCATTGGCTTGTATTAGTGTTTCACATTGCTCTGTAATGTTGAAGATGTTTCACAACTCATCTAAGTAGCTTTCTCAATTCTAAACTAATTCTAAACTAATTGGATGAGCGGCAAAACATGTTCAACTTTACCGAACGAGTCCAGCTGAATATGCTTAAATACTACTAGCTATACCATGACCTGAATAAATGAGAAACTCCACAGACAAAGCCCATGTACATGTGTAAGAGCTGGAGTGGCAGTAGTTGAGAGCAAAGTATACAGGTGAAACTCGAATAATTAGAATATCGTGCAAAAGTAATTGCAGTAATTGCTGCAAAAGGGGCCCAAACCAAGTACTGAGTACATATGCATGCTTGTACTTTTCAGAGGTCCGATATTGTTCTATGTACAATCCTTGTTTTATTGATTGCATGTAATATTCTCATTTTTTGAGATTGTGGATTTGGGGTTCTTGGGGTTTTCATGAGCTGTAAGCCACAATCATCACAATTATGACAAGCCACGGCTTGAAGTGTCTTGCTTTGCATGTAATGAGTCTATCTCATATATTAGTTTAACCTTTTAAGTTGCATTAGTGAAATAAATGAACTTTGCACTATGTTCTAATTATTCGAGTTTCACCTGTATATCAAAAGGTAAGATGGCAGCCAATCAAAAAAGAGCTATACTTGGTTTTATATTTAGGTCCAAAAAAACTCAAGGTCCCAAGCATAACTCTCATTGTCCCTCACCAGTTCCCATTGCATTTGGTACAGAACAAAAAAGAGTTCAGGGTAATGTTGATTTGTTTCTGTTCATTTTGAAACTGCTTTTTTACCAATGTAAGTAAATTTGAATGCAAAATTAGCTTGAAACAACTACATGCAGGTTAGAAGAAGGTCACCTCCAGCTCAGAAAGAGGTCAACTGCAGGTTAAATGCACATGTAGAAACTCAAATGGAACTTAAAAGTCCATGCTGCATTTTCTCATCTACAGCCATTACTCTTTTCTATAAATACCTTGTAAGGTAATCTCTCAGACCAACACAACCATGCTTAATTAAAAAAAAAGGTATGAAACCCAGGGTTGAACAAGGCTATTGGACAAGGTATGAGAATCCTCAGTTCACATTTTAAAAAGGTTTTCTGCCTTACATATACAGCTTACAATTGTCTCTCCGATCTGTTCTCAAAATCCCCACAATTTAATATTAATATGCATTATTATGCAAACCATATTCCTTTGGTGCAAGACTTATATTTGTGGTGCCATGGAAATTCAAACCAATTCAGGCCAACAAGGCTTCTAAGTAAGCTATGATGTAGCTTTATCTAGGGTGTCCTGTTCTATTAAACGTGATGCTGAGAGATGGGGATGGTTGCTGCATTTACCATTTGATTCCTGTAAGGGTCAGATGCTGAAGGTGAGTTTTGCATCAGGATTTTGAATTTTTGTCATATCATGAATACAGCCCCAGAATAAGCTGTGCAGTGGTTTATCACCAAAATACAGAAGACACACTCAGGATATTGTCATTACAGCCAAAGATGTGTGCTTCACTCTTTAGTGCCTGCTTTAAGACAGCTCTGCACATTGCAAATCACTGGGTTCACATTCTGTTAGCCTTGGCACTGGAATACAATGTAACATAAATACAAAGGCAGAACTGTAAACCTGTTACAAGACATATCAATTTAAGAAGAGAAGCGATTCACTCAGTGGGTAACAGCGGAATCACATTTCATTCAACAAGTTAAGTCTGCTATAAGGCTTGTGTTAGTGAGCTTTTGTTTGCATCAGAACTGCTTCTATCCTGATTTTAAGTCTATGTGATTGCAAATGCAGCTCGAAGAAGTTCAATTGCAGGTAAGAAGGAGGCCAGATGCAGGTCAAATGCCCCCATCAAATTTTGAAAGATCTCAGAATCTTAATTTTCAAACAAGGTACATTTGCCCATCAACACAAACCCAAAACCTGTCAACACAAGCCCTTAGGCACCCATTCTGAGTACTTCAGAAAGCTATATTATATGCTGGTTGAACCATTAAACATTTTTTTTTCCGCTTAGATCTCCTATGAAATCACAGTCTCTCCTGGTATTATTGTCATGTAAAATCACCCTTGAATAAATACTAAACCAAGTCCCATGATTCTCAAACCCAAAGTAGCTATATTTTTTATATATGAGCAGTCTGGTCCCATTCTTGGCTGAGCACTGTATTAAAGGGCACAGTGCGGAAAATGCACAGGCCACAGTGAACTTCACCATTTCATGGAAACTGGTCTAGCTGAGAATGAGTCTCCCACAAATACTAATCCTAGTCCTTCTGAAAAAGTACCACAGTTGCAGGTTACCAGTCAAGGCAAAAAAAGGAACATAATACAATTTCTGAGGTTAGTATGATTAACTGAAGTGCAACCCAAACTCATACTTCTGACCGTGCGAAAATATGCATAATAAAATTAGGATGCATGTGTTCAGAATCAGAAATAATATTGGAACATGCAGAAATTTAGAGCACGCTGAATATCGCTATGCACTTCTAAACAATTTGACCTCTTTGGTTTAAAACAATGATTTAAAACTGGTGAGGGTTGGTGGTAATTGCTAAGCCAGAACACCCCTAGCTCCACACAAGCATTTAAAAAAAACACAAAAAATACAAACAATAATTAAAATCGAAAACTAATATAAATAAAAAATAAATAAAATAAAAAGGTAGTATTGTTTTTTAATAGTACAGATTATATTTACAAGTAACTGAAATAATACCTATTACAAAAAAATTTAAAAAATGGCCACACCCTGAACATTTTAGGCCATGCCTTCGGACTGAACTTCTGTTCTCTGCAGATGGACTGTTGAAATTTGTTTATTGTAGGAAGCATTTTATACCTAGAAGTGTATAAGGATATTCAGCCATTGTTAACTTGTCTTGTAATATGCCTTAAAATAACTTTCTGTAAATATATTGTTAACCAGAACATGCATAGCATGGGATACATCAGTTAACACTATTTCATGAAAAAGCTCACTAATGGTGAGTCATATATTGTATAAAAATACAAAGAAGGCAGGGGGGGAAAGGATATTCTCTTGTGGTAAAGGAACTAGATATCCCATAGCTCCTTATCACTTAGTACAAACCATTGATTTGGAATCCCCTGGACAATCCATGCTATTGCAGGTTGTTAGTTGCTGCAAAGTAGGTGTTAACAGTACCAAATCAGAAGCTTAGATTGTTCAGGGAATTTTTCTGAGACATGTTGAAAATATGTCAAAAGTATCTGCACAGGGCAAAATGGGCAATGGAAGGTAAATAAACACCCAGTCTTAGTTTACTGTTTTAAAAACATACAATGGAATACCCAAATCAAAAGGGGGGTGAGGACTTCATTTTTAATTCCTGTTGCCAAAGCGGTAAAATGTAGTTTACTTAATACTTGTAATTTGTCTTAATGTCTCCAGTAATTATAGCAATTGTCTACCATATATCATGTTGTGTATTTTTGTTTTCTTTTTTTCTTTTATAATTTTTTTTAAATTCCAGACCTTCTAATATAGTTTATAAAGCACAGTAAATACTGATAGTGGATGCTCCTCCGATATATGCAAATATGTTTCATGTTTAGATTAATCTCCTTTTCAAAAAAAAAGAAAATAAATTGTAATCAAGCACTCATAGAGTGCAGTCGACTTGCTGGAAAATGTCCCATGTCGCACATGAAGTGTAGTTTGAGTTTGTCCGGTATCGAGTCTTCTTCATTCTCTCTTCCTCCTTGGGCGCCCGTGACCCCCATTGTGTTCCTAAAAATGTGCTTTAATAGTAGCGGAGAACCGCAGAGTGCACAGCGGTATGTCTCAATTTTCTTTTCCAGTTTCGGAGTCAAAAAAATAGAAGAGTTTTCTAGCATTATACCATTGTGCAAACAGTGTTCAAATTTGGGTCAAATCGTACTGCTTTCCCCTCCACAGTCTTTGCATTGGTGTCGTACATTGGATTTTCAAAAGCTGCTTGACCATTGTTATTTTCATGTACAGCGCATCCTGTATACTGGGTTTTGGGTGCAGTCCTGTTGAAACAGACCAACAATGTTAAACTGAGGAATAAAATAAATAACAAAATAATAATAATTCTAATGATAGAGTGATAAAGGCAAATGTGAAGAACCAACAGAACATAGAACTGACAGCAAAGCATCCACAAAGAAGGAGGTGTGGGTGAAGTCTATCTAATGCGGTAATATGGTAACCTAAAGCACTAAAAACCTGAATGCTGAATCATTTACTGGAGTAGAATTACAAAAGAAATAGAGACTGTTCATTTAGCAAAGTTAATGTTCATGAAACGTAGTAAGTAAAATGAAGCTGTTTTCATTTCAATTAACCAGACATCTAGTAATTTTGTTTAAGTATGGTCCACACCTAAATTAATGTGTGTGTTTCAATTGACCTCAATGCATGTGTACAACTGTGCTATAGCTTTTAATGGTGTTAGTTCACATCTGCGTGCTGTGTTAATGTGCATTGACCAAAAGAGTGCAGTTCCATTTTCTAGTGCATGGATTCGCTTTATTGATGCCCATGGCAGTGCGTGCAAATGCATGTAAGATACATTTCAGTGCATTTTCAGCTCATAGTAACAAGCTCTGCCGTAACAACCTCAACTTAAAGAAGCATTAAACTCTTAAAATCTCTTAAGTTATGAGTCCAGATCAAAGAAAAGCAAAGTATTTATTAAAATTTTTTGCCTAAGCACTTACTGTCGACAGGTATCTGAGCAGGTGGCTCCAGCTCCCTCAGCTCTGCTTCCCTGAATTCTGTTAAGATCACAAGGCAGAGCACAATCTCCAGTAGCCATCCATTTACTAGCCTGGAGAATGAAGGAGGAAGAAGCATACTAGCACACACAAGGGTGGCTCCATAGGACCCTGCAGGGGAAAGGAGCGACCCTAAAACAGAATATCAGGGCTAGTGCTAAGGGGACCAGCTGATTCTAAAACTAGCAGCATCCATTGTAAGTGATTTCATCAGCATTTGAAATAGCTTAAAAACCTTTTGACTTCAATGTCACTTTCCCTTAACAATTCTGCAACTGATAGAACCCCACACAGTAGCACAGGATGCATGAAAACACACATAAATGTGCAAATAAACACACACCAACATGCATGAAAACATGCATTAAAATTAGCATAAACATGCATAAAAAAGCTAATTGAAAGATTTGAAGCAAGTGAACACAGTGAATACCGGTGTACCTTACTTACTAGTCATGTTGCATGTACATTTGTCAAAGTGAACATTCATTTTACTAAGTAAACAGGCTCTAAATCCATTAGAGTCAATTTACAAAGTTGTTTTGTTTCTTCATTTCGCTCAATATTTCATTGATATCACACATTATGCAGTGGCTATGTAAAGTTAGTCAATTCACAAAACGTAAAGTGACACTAAACTCAGGAGTTGAATCTTAAAAATGCAATGAAATACCTTAACTATTAACAAAAATTTAGATTTGTGTATCACTTGGCTGTAGATCCTCAAATCGCTCCTGTGATGGACTACAATCTCACCTTTAGTTTACTCATTTGTATTGAAATTATAGTCCATCACAGGAGCGAGCTTGGAGTGGTGAATACTTTACAACACACACAGGGACTAGGGATGGGCCGAGTGTTCGATTCGAACATGAGTTCGAATCGAACATCGGCCGTTCGAGCGCTTGCATTTTAAAGATTCAACTCCTGAGTTCAGTGTCACTTTACGTTTTGTGAATTGACTAACTTGACTAAGAGCTTTAATGGCTCGGCAGTCATCTAATTTAAAACACAGTTAAATTAAATAAATTAATTAACTAATTAATTATCTTATATAAGTATATAAACATGTCAATTGAATTTCAAAAGTAAAGTTAAATTTTTTTCAAATGGCAGCTTTCTTTAAAAATAATAGCGAGTGATCCTGCTATGAAGGTTCTTCTTCAGTCACTTCCTGTTATAGGGTGACAACACTCTGTTACTAGTTTATAATTGTTTTCATTCACATTTGAATACATCTTTTCATTCACATTGAATACCTGCAAATGCACAATTGCAAATGCGTCTTACATTATAAGTGCTTTTTACTTGCTTAAAATCCAACCTTGCTCCTCTTATATAATGTTAGGAAGAGGGTTGTGGGAAGTTAGGTTTGCTATAAATAACCCTGTTTGTACTGTGCTGCCAGATCTCATTATCAGTTGTAAACTAGATCTGAACACTGTCTGTCCTAACAAAGTTTAAAACTTAGAAGCAATGTATATTAATGAGAAGAAGCTCTGTCTGTCCCTCTACTTTCACTATTTAAACTGCTCACAGTAGCTTGAAATCTGCACCAATGACTTCAACAAAGAAACATCAAAAAATTAAGAAATATATTTGTTTGAATTATTTTCGGTATGCTGTGTGAATGAGAACACAGAACAAATAAATAGTGGGGTTTCTCCAATTTGACTGCAAACGTCCTGCTAAACTTTAAATCCCTCAGCAGCAAATATATTTAATTGCCAGCATATCCCCAGGCTGCCTTATGATAGATCTCTGTGTGCCCACTTTTGTGTCTTTACTTCGTCTGATTCTAAACCTTTACCTAACTGTTCTACATACCAGCTTCAGAGTTGAATGGGAACTTACCTTTGTTTATACAGATAAAATCCAAAACCCGCAAATATAAGAGCGAAGAAAGGCACCAGGATAGCTATAGCGACAGAGCTACTGTTTGTTCCGAGAGATTGGTTTGAAGAATTATCCTCTGACGTGTTAATTCCTGTCAACATAAACAATGAAGTAAAATAAGACTTCTCTTCACAGCAACAGGAATAGTGGAATATGTAATGACTAAACCTCATGTTATTTGCACAGCATCATACCATCATTGCAAAATGGTGTTTTATGTCTATCCACAAAGAGTGTTAAGTGGGGGGAGGGGATAAGTAATAGTTAATTGAGTCTCTTTCACTTTCAAGAGTTCAAGCAGTGTACAAACAATCCTCTATAAGAGGTGATGGTCAGAATGTAATTGGTCAAAAAATAGAAAATCCTGCAAGGAAATCGTATGATTGTTTCTGAAGGAGAAAACTGGTAACATAACTAACTATGAGTTCTGTAGGTTTTGTGGTGACTTTAATGTTGTAAAGTTTAAAGGACATTCATCATAAAACAGAGGCGTTTTGGTAATTATACATAAGTAATGCATTTAAAGGAGAAGTATTTGAAAAGTAAAATGTACTCTTCCCTATATTTAGAGTCGGCATGTGACACTGCAGGTGTCACATGGCGGGTCTCTAGATCGAGAACTGAGTGATCATGAAACACTGATTGCTTAGTGCACAGTCTTCTTCCTGCAGAGAGCGGTGACTGTCAGTGACTCCTCCCCACAGGGATTCCCCCTCTCCTCTCTGTTCCTCCAGCACTCAATGGAGGGAGAGACAGCGGAGGGGATGGGTGCAGCTGGCTTTGGTTCTAGAGATGCAGAGCCTGCTGTCAATCAAGCATTGGGGTTGATCCCCACAATATTATCAGGATTGGAACTGAAGCATTTAGTTCTCTTTTAATAAGAGTATTCAGCATAACAATTTATCTGCCATATCAAATGTCCTTACTTCTATTTTTCTGTACATTTAAATGCAAGGCTACCTGTCTAGCACAAATGACAGTGGTGGGGTTGTGAAAAACTGAAGAGGTCATTCAAATTGTACATTGTTATTCTCATGACATAAATCAACTTTAAAAAAATCGCTCTGCACATTTGCAGCAAATATGAGAAAATAATCCATGTACTGAAAACGATAATTACATATATAAACCACATGCAGTTATCATAATTCAGCACAACCATGATGCAGTTATCATAATTCTACACAATAGTGACCCGATAAGTGGCCAGTTGGGTTGGATGGAAATGAGCGTGCCAAGAACATTCTGTTAGTTGAGCCCAGAAGAAAATACCTAAAAGGATGACGTAAACTGCAATGGGAAGAAGAGATTCAACAAAGGTCAGCAATGATAACATACAGAGACTGAGAAGAAGTCAGTTGCAGCTGAGAGGAATGGCAGAAGCTCTTGAAGGGCCCAATTGCTCTGTAGTGCCAAAAGAAAGAATATTTTGAGATAATGTTGCATTTGTCTGAGAATAGTTTTTATATGACCTTTTTTAAAATGGTTTTTACTTGCTTTTTGTGACATGTTTTGTCTACATGATTTGAAAATGTTTCCTCTAGTGGTCATCTGTACATGAAGTAATCTGATTAGCATCAATGTTGAGAAAAGCTCCTTTAGCTGTGTAGTTTTCAGTGAAAGCATCACTGATCTGTATCTTTTTTGCAGGGAGAAGGTAAGCCTAAGTCTACACATAATGACTGGTGACCACGCAAGTTCTGAAACATACATTTTGCCATATCCATTAAGGTCTGAATAGAAGGCAAAAGCTCATCTGAGGTCTGGGTTTCAATTTAGCTATTTGTTAAAAGGGGAGGAGTGCTCGTGGAAAATTAAAAAGAACGAAATGTGGGTTTATTTATGAATCTAAATGCTAAGTCTTTATTACTGCTAGAAAAAAGTTCCAATTTGTTGGATGGGTGGAATTTGGAAGTCGGAGGGGACTAATAACTTCTAACATACTTTTACTGTATATGACAATACTATGGATATATGTAGTGTGAAGTATTATGATGCATGGAGTATGGAGTGCAATCTACACTCAGCATTCAAAGTGGAGCTGTGTACAGAATGTTGAAATCAGTGCACAGATTAGTGAAGTGGTCCAGAATAGGTTACTTAAAGCACACTATAAATAAGGATGTGGTCCAAAGCATGTAATTTACATCATGGTGTCAGAATGGGGCAGTCCAGAGAACAGATTTTAATGGTTCAATAAATACAACATAAAATAGAATCAGTGTAGGCTTACTTTTACTACTATCTTAATTAACGTGGGTTTTTCTGATTGCAACACATAGAATACTGAAACCCTGCCATGTTGAATGGTGTGGGCAGGGCAATCTCTCATTTTCTCTTCCTTATTTTATTGTTTAATATAACTATAGGATAACTGTACAGGCTTACCAATAGAAAAAATATATACAGTATGTTTCTTATTCTCCTTTACTTTCCTTGTATGCACTAGCTAGAGTGTCAGGGGGTCTGAGGTCACCTGTCAGCTATCCTACCTCACAACCTGTATACTCAGAAGCTGGGATATAGTATGTCAGGGAAAAGAAAGTTGAGGCGCTGGACAACAATGTTTGACCCATAGAAAAAATGTAATTTATTGAGTCTAATGGCTTGAGTTCAGCAGCCCTCCACAAAGTGAGGGAGGCCCAAATAGATGAGGTTATCCAAATTGAGTAATCCACATGTATTTGAGCCAAAGCGTGTGCCAGACAAATGTCTTTAGAGTCCAAAGTTCTTTTTTATTTCCGCAAGTGACAACAGGAACGAAAAGGCCAGCCAACACATTTCAGAGGTGTGGGTGGAAAATTCCTCTTCAATGGGGCTTGGACAATGTATCAAGTGTCTACTGGACTCAAAGCAAGGCACCTGGATAAAGATCTATGACCGAAGGAGAGTCAATTAGTGACTGTGCTTGTATCAGTGGCAAAAGCAATTTATCTGAGGTCTGGCAGTTGACAAGACATTAACTGTCATACTTCAGGTGACCTCTGACACCCTGATTGCCTCAGGACATGCAGCTCCTATGTTTGTATCCTGACCTTGCCACTTCTCTCTGCAATACCTCACTCTCCTCCTGTATGGACGCAATTGCCCCTCTTACCACTCACAGAATCAGGTCCCGTCAACTACATCCTTGGCTAACAGATAACACTAGAAGGGGGTGATTTACTAACCTAAACACACGCGTGTGATTTTTTACACAGCAAAACGTATTTATCAACCAAAAAGTCTCTAAAAGCATATTTCCACTAATGCCATATATGGAAAAATCATGCACATGATGCATATATAATGCTGCTTCACAGTTTAGACAAAAATGGTTAGCTCATGCATTTACATTCCTGCATTCATCAACGCAAGCAACACAATGTAGAGCTAATTTACACAACATCACCTTGCAATTCATGCAAGGCTTTGCACAACACACCTGCTGGGTGTGTACACACTACAAAGGTGTCTAGATTCCACCAATAGATCATGCTGGGAGGGAACACACTACAGAGGTGTATACTTGTTCGTGGCGTGTTTATAAGGTTAGTAAATCAACCCCGAAGACTCAGAACACATAGTCGTGCTCTTGAGTGACTATGGCGTAAATCCAAATCCTTGCAAGACTTCACCCAATATAAATCTGCCCTCCAAAAATACAGTACCTACCTCCACACAGACAAACAGAACTATTTCATCACACTCATTAACACCCTCTCATCTAGTCCTCACCAGCTCTTTTATACCTTGAACTCCCTACTTCGTTCCCGTCTGAATACTCCAATCAACTCACTGACTTCGCAGGAAACTGCCATTCACTTCAGAGATAAGATTGATGCAATTTGCTAAGACATCTACACTGTCCAGATCTCTCCCACTCCAAACACATCTTATCTACCTCCACACTCACTACTCTCTTCATTTCTCTCGATCAATCTGGCTTTCGTCCGAAACACTCCACAGAATCTGCCATTTTAAAACTTACTAACGATCTACTAACTGCTAAAACCAATGGCCACTACTCTATACTCACAGTTGACCACCTGCTTCTCCTTAATAAACTCAAATCCCTTGGCCTCCAAACTCTGCTCTCTCATGCTTCGCATTCCTACCTTCAGTATCACCCACAATTCTACCTTCTCCTCTTCTCTTCCTCTTTCTGTGGGTGTCCCCCAAGGCTCAGTCCTTGGTCCCCTCCTAATCTCCATCTACACCTCTTCCCTGGGTCAGTTGATAGCCTCCCATGGCTTCCAATACCATGTTTACGCTGATGTCTCCACTTCTCAGCTCACCCCCACTGTCTTTTCACATATCACTAATCTACTCAGTGGCATCTCAGCATGGATGCCACACCACTATCTCAAACTCAATCTGTCCAAAACTGAGCTTAAAATATTTCCTCCTCTCTTTGTTCCATCCCTAGACTTCTCCATCACAATCAACAGCACTACAATAAGCCCCTTCCATCAAGCCAGAGTACTCGGTGTAATCTTTGATTCTGAGCTCTCCTTTCAGCCCCCCGTTCCAATCACTATATAAATCTTGCCAACTCAACCTCTGTAACATTTCTAAAATGTACCTCTTTTTAACAAACAAAACCACAAAGCTTCTAATTCACTCACTTGTAATCCCTCACCTCGACTACTGTAATGCCCTCCCAATCATCCTACCACTAAACAGGCTATCCCCCTTCAGTCTATCATGAATGCTGCTGCCAGACTCATCTACCTTACCCACCATTAAGTGTCTGCCACCCCTGTCTGCTTATCCCTCCACTGACTTCCAATTCAAAATACTAACAACACCACACAAAGTTATCCAAAACTCAGCCCCCGACTACATCTCCAACCTCATCTCAAAATATCACCCAAACCGTCATCTCCGCTCCTTTCAAGACCTCCTGCACTCTAGCACTCTTTTAACCTCCTCCCATGCTCACCTCCAGGACTTCTCAAGAGTGTCTCCCATTCTCTGGAACTCCCTACCCCAATCCGTCCGCTTATCTCCTATGCTATCCACCTTTTTAAGGCAATCCTTAAAAATGAATCTCTTCAGGGAAGCCTATCCCACCTCAACATAACTGTCCTTTTACTTCTTCCACCAAACTCAATCTAAACAGTTATTACCTTTTGTATCACCTGCCCTATCCTACTAGACTGTAAGCTCTTACAAGCAGGGCCCTCCTAACCCTACTGTACTGAAATTGTATTGTATCTGTACTGTCTCCCCCATTTTGTAAAGTGCTGCGCAAACTGTTGGCGCTATATAAATATCTTTTGAATGAAATTACAGTTTTGGTAGTTTATTTGCAGGTTAGTTCACGGGGGACATGGAATTTTCATTGTGATAGTAAATAATTAGATTGTAAATATGAAGCTTTTGTTTACAGTAAATCTATAAAAACAAACAGGTGTTTTTATTTACTGTGGGCAAGGTTGCTTTCAATAACACTGACACAAATTGGCAGTAATGAATCATTTATTATATGAAGTGATGCAGTAAAATGGTTTGTCTATATTGCAAGATGTAATCCGAATGTATCACTGAGATATATTTTCCTTCTTTGAAAGAGGGTAATTGACAAAATATCCACCAGGGAGGTATATTTTGCTTATGCAATCCAGTTCCTTGAAAGTCAACTGCATCCAACAGCTGAATGTACATTTGAGTAACAGAGGGGAATTTATCAAAATCGGAGCAGACAGAGCAGTTGGCCATGGCAACCAATCAGCTTCTGTCTTTCATTTTCAAATCTTAATTGAACTAACTGAAGAGAGAAACTGATTGGTTGCTATATAGGAATTGTTCCACAAACCCACAGGTTTGTAAAGGAATACCCATAGACTTGAAATGACAGTTGTATCATGTGTGTGTTCCTGTACAGGCCAGGTAACAATCCCATGTCTATAGGCGACATTTGTTCCTGCAAACTAGCAACAATATGAGGGAACAATCAAAAAGCAGGGTTAGAAGACCTATCCCAGTTGCCATTGTTTCCCTGAGACGTGCCATTACAGCAGCATCAAACAGTTCAACCTTTCTCTCCTCCATTCACATCAACAGGAACATTCAGCCAAGCAGAGATTTCCTGTTCCTGGACACCCAAGCAAGCAGCAATATGGAGGAACAAGCAAAATGCTGGGTTAGAAGACCTATTTCAATTTCTATTGTTTCCATGAGATGCTGAATGCCTTGGCAGCAGAATCTAACAGTGTACCCCTTCTCCTCTCCATTCACATGAACAGGAAAATTCAGCCAAGCAGAACATTCCTTTTCATGGACACCCATACAAATAGCAATATGATAGAACAATCAAAATGATGGTAAGAAGACCTGTTCCAATCAATATTGTTTTCTTATGATTTGGCTTGGCAACAGCATCTAACAGTCCCACCCTTCTCCCCTTCCATTTATGTGAACAGGAACATTCAGCCAGGCAGAAAATTCCTGTTAATCACTTTTGTGCCCATTCCTAATGATGGAGTTTGCTCGGATTGTGCTGCGCAGTTTACCACCCTCACAGGTTTAAATCTATAGGTGCCTCACATGAGAAAAATAAATACACAAGGAATTATAAGTTACCTGTGTGCTAATGTTTGCACATGGACTACAATAAATATAAGCAAAATGTATTAACAAGGGAGCTTTGCTATAAAATGTTCACTCCAGGGTCGCAAAATGCTCCAGTTAAGCTGTGACATGCCTAAAATAAAGCAACTCATAGAAAAAAAAACCACACCGTAGTCCAATCGACAACTAACTTTTAATCCATTAGGATAAGTACTTCCAGCATATCGAGATTCCCTGTCTGGGAGCTGTTGGGCGGCTCATAGGTTGGAAGTCTTGGTATGCTGGAAGTACTCAGCCTTATGGATTAAAAATTGATTATCTGTTGGACTACGGTGTGTGGCTTTTTTGTTTGAGTTGCTGTGTTAGAGCATGGACAACTCCTAGTCTGCACCCATATGTGCCCGGGAGTTGGAAGCTCGCCGTTGGATAGAGAAGTGATAGTTCTTTGGACCTCTATAATGCCTAAGATAAAAATTAGATTTTTCTCTATGGTTGTTGGGCCTATCTAAGCATTGTTAGAATTCTTAGATGTGCATATCATTCATGAATGACAACACACTAGGTTTGCACTGTTACCGTTATAGGACACTGTAAACCTTTTTAATTAGTGAAAGGCTTCCGTAAACTGCACAAAGAAAGGTTACATGCAGCGCATGCATGGATCTTTGTGCGCATGCACAGAAGTTCAAGCACTAGCACATACGTTGGTACTTGGAATACAGATTGAAAATGACTGCACCATCAGCTAGGTTCTTGAATTGTGAAAGTTAGCAAGCATTTATGCATGCATTCTTTTTTCTCACACATGTAGGCACACAATCACATTGTATAATCATGGTTTAATCCTGCTCTTGTTAATTTTTTTAAGATCACCTAAACTGAGTCACATGGTTAAATAAGAAGTCAAGTGCTTTGTCTTTTCACTGAAATTAATTTAGTCAAAATCACTTCCCTCATCCTTAGCCATGGCCTGGGATGAGAGGCTGACAGGGCAGGCTTGCAGCAATGGATACAGCATGTCGCTGACTGGCTCCATACACCTAGAACCAAGGTGGTAGCAAAACTGGGTGACAGTATGCCTTACTCTTTTACTTGTCAGTGCTATGTATTGATAAGGAATGAGCAAACAAATCTTGTTATTCTAAGGTTAGAAAGTCAACTGGGCAAGTAAAATAGAAGCACAAGACAGCAGGCCTGGAGGGGACAGCAGGAAGTATACACCAAGCTTTGCTTTCACTGTATCTAAATCACTTGTACTACAAATCCACAGAAAGGATGTCCTTGAGCTGGAGAGAGTCCAGAGAAGGGCAACTAAACTAATTAAGGGACTGGAGGACCAAAGCTACGAGACAAGGTTACTAAATGTAAACTTGTTCACGCGAGAAGTGAGGAGACTAAGAGGGGACATGATTTTTATGTACAAATTGTTTAGTGGTGATGGCAACATCAGCAATAAACTTTTTACAGTAAACTCCATAACAAAGACTAGAGGCCACCACCTAAAACTGGTGGAGAAGAGATTTAACCACAAGGAGCATAGGGGATTTTTTCTGTTAGAGCGGTTAAAGTATTGAACTCACTGCCACAAGCAGTGGTATCAGCTGAGGGTATTGAATCATTCAAAAAGCATTTAGATACCTTCTTCAGAGGACCATAACATACAGGGGTACCGGCACTCTTAAAAACAAGATCACACAGTGACTCATATACACACATGCACAATCACACACAGACACACAAAGGTTGAACTTGATGGACCTGTGTCTTTATTCACTCTCAAATACTATGTAACTATGTTGAGACTTTTAAAATACTTGCCTATACTTCTTAGTCCAAATTGCCCATAATCTTTCCCATGAATGGAACCTTGAAAAACATATGTAGCTCCATCAGGTTCAGCTGATACCTGAAGAGAAAGAAAAACAGCATAATTTTTTTTTGCATTTTGCATTGCATATTGATTTTTATATAACAGAAGACTTTGATCTTCAGATTACAGTCAATACAACAATAGCTACTGATGAGTATATTTAGAACCAGAGTTTCCCAAACTTTCCAAATAATATCCTTAATTCTTTAGGGTGTCAGACTATGACCAGTAGGATTAAACAAGGCTCAGCATCAGTGTGAATAAACAAGGCCCTAGGCTCGGTGGTCAGTGGGAATAAACAATCTCCCAGGCTTGGCTGTCAGTGTGAATAAACAATGCCCTAGGCTCAGTGGTCAGTGGGGATAAACAATGTCCAAGGCTTGGCTGTCAGTGAGAATAAACAGTGCCCCAGGCTCGGTGGTCAGTGAGAACAAACAATGCCCCAGAGTCGGTGGTCAGTGGGAATAAACAATGTCCCAGGCTCGGTGGTCAGTGGAAGTAAAAAATAACCTAACATCGTTAGTGTTAGTGGAAGGAATAGGGTTCCAAGGGCCAGTTGAATGCAATCAGAGGTCTGCAAGGGCCACAGTTTGGGGACCATTGCTTTAAACATTGACTAAGGTTAAAGTGGTACTCTGCCTTTGAGTAAGATTGAAGTTCAAAACATGCTATATTTCTAAAACATATTTTCCATTTTCTGATTTTCTAAATTACTACATCTATTTATGATAGATATTCTGACATAATCAAAATTCTGGTTGTCATTTCAGCTTCTGCTTATTTCCCACTAATTTATTTATGTGTTGTCTGTAAGCCATGCTTCTATGCCTCTCCTCTATGGCCCTCTTATTGTTATAGGTTGGTTGTTGTCTGACTCCCCTAACTATATGTGAATTCTTAACAGTTAATTAAATATTGCACGGTGGAGGGTAATATCAGATTTGAACATTTCAAACAAGGCACAGCAGTGTGGCCTGGGATATAGTGTATTACAAGAGGATTAAGAGGATCTCTGAAAATGACTGTAATCTGTATAAGAGATCAAATCTTACAATAAATAAGGGGGCCACACAGTCATCTAAGGAATGGACCCAGATTTGTTTCCACTTCCAAATTATACAAAGATGTGCTGGAAGAACACTGTTGGAGCTTTAAAGTTGTGCTCACTTGCGAACCAAGAGATGTTGCAAATATATAGTTTGCCTCTGTACGGCATATATGTATATTGGGTGAGTTGATGTGTTTTAAAGGCACTCTGCAGATGAGGTTTAAATCAGGAGAGATGGCTTTTAAGATAGTCTTGCATCTATTCTCTTTCCTGTCTTAAAGCGTGTAGATTTGCAGAGTTCGCTTCACATTTTCTTCTTCATCCCAGTATTATAAATATCTTATAAACAGCATTATACTCACAAATCCATCCATCGCCCATCTCTCATCTTTCAATTTGCTCAGGGAGGTGTGAGATGATGTTTTTACTGAATTGATGTGCAGTATCAAGCGCGCTTCTTGACTTTTGTAGACCCCTGCAATAAACAGGTTTTAAAATTAAACACGATAATAACACATAATTATAAATGTATATGCATGTAATAAGGCTTCAGATGATCAAACAGCCTGTATGACTCATTAGCGACTACAGGAGTCCTTTAACTGAGCTGTTCATCTTTATCTAATATTTATAGTCACTTCCTTCTACCTTTAGGGTAAAGCAATTAAACTACAACTCCAGGCAACTAGAAAGAACACCCTTTAGAACAGTTACACACTCTATGTATTCAAGATCATTAAATTTATATTTAAATACTGCAAGTATAATACTTGCAATCTGTGTTAGCATTAACCTTCCACCTGCATTGTGAAGCTAAATGAAAGATCTAATGCATTGTGAAAAACTGACATCCTAACTTATTTCAGGTACTAGGTCAAAACTGGGGAGGTGTTTCAAGGCAAAGTCCATCTTTCTAAAAAAAAACATTAAGATGTTGTGATGATGTATCACAAGCCAGGGTGAAATCAGTTACAAATAGTTTGGCAGGTGTTGGAGCTAATAGAAATGATATCCATGTAACTCTGATGTGAAACTAACAAATGCCTTTGGGTGAACAGTCTGTAGATCCAGGCATGTAGCACTAATACAGCAGCTATCAAATGATAAATCTTTTGGGAAAATCCTCTTAAATAATCTTTTATAAACCCTTGGGGTATTCATGGGGACACCGTTGTTAACGGGGCTGGCTAGAAGCAAAATTACAAAAGTCCTTATCTTAGCCTATTTGTACCACCATTGGAGATCAGAGTTCACAGTAATAAAACAGAGGAACGTGATAAGCTTTTGAATAACCTTTTGGACAAGTCTTCCTTAATCCTGCAAGCATAAATGCAATTCTCTGGGACCCACCTGATGGGAGTGCTTTAAGAATAGACAGAGGCCTTATGTGTGTGAGAATTGTAGTGAGAATTAGTATGCTAGCCTAATAAGTAGACTTTTTTTCCCTCTCACTACTAACCATCACCTTACCCTACTTTCCTCTTCCTTGAAATTAGAATGTATGTATATGCCTCTTTGTAAATAAACCAAACCGTTAGTTGCCACCAACAGGGCACATTATACAGTAGGTAATTCACATGTACATATTTCCTCTGTGTATTTTGTTGTCCGGTTTGAAGTTTAGCTTTAAAGTGTAACCTGCAGTTTTTTGTTCAAGTCCCTTTTCTAACTTTTTATTACCTGTTGATCCTGCCAGTAGATCTGTTATTTGTTTCATTTCCTCTAAAAAGGTCAAACTGTAAATGAAATACTGTATGTCAGCTACAATTAAAGGAATCCTTGGTCACAGCTGCTAAATGGTCAGAGCACCTGTCCATCAGCCAGCAAGGGGCATTGACTGCAGCGAACTGGATGACAGCACAGCTGCCTTTAGTTCTCACAGGATGGTGACAATGACAACACTCCTGCAGCATCGGGAGCTGGTTATTACACTATTAAAGAGTGAGCAGCAACTGGCAGGATTGACAGGTATTTATTAAACATTTACTCACACCAATGGGAAAAAAACCTAAACTTCCGAGGGAAAAAGGGAGTTATTTACACAACTTTAGTATTTAGGTTTACATACACTTTAATTAAATTTACATTACTTTCTGGTGTCCGAAGGAAAATCTTATCTTATGTAGCCTGTTTACAGGGCAACACTAAAATACTCTAACTGATCTAGTGGGAACTGGCAGGGTAGGAGTAGTCATAAATTAAACTCATCTCATAGTTCTATGTTCCTTTACCTGTTGTTTTAAGGTGTCTATCTATGTATGTTCAGTGTTCTTTTTAATCTAACTCCTTATGCTGTCTATAGACTCCTAAAGACAAAAGATAATGTTTGCATATCTGTAAGTCTTCGCTGATGTCCACTGGCCAAGTTTGCCAGGTCCTGGTTGGTCCCTATTGCTTTGACTGCAATAGGAATTCCTTTCCTCCCTCAGCCTAATAAAACACCAGGGTAGTAAAGGACAAGTGAGGATTGCTCCCGTGGAGTTGGGGCATGGGCAAAGCCCAGGTTTGCTTCAAGAAACGCACATTTAGAGGAATATTTATATACATTTGCCTAGTTTGATTCACCCACATTTGCCACACATTCACCGGCTACATCTGAAGTATTTAAAACCTGGCACAAATAGGTTTGGTGTTGACTTCAGCAAACCCATTTGGGTTGGGAATAATACAAAGGATACATAGAATGTTCCAATCCGGTCAAAATACAGATAATTTCTAGGTGATGGCTGAAATGATAGGTTTTGTCTAGATCAGAGTGTAAAATGGAAATGAGTAAACCATGATGGATGTGAGCAGCGGAGAAAGCTTAAAAATAGCCCAAGATAGTTAATAAACATTGGAAGAGCAGTTGAAAATGTGGCGTTTTGCCATGTTCTTTTTTTTATAGAGTTAAACATTCTGAACAATTTAACTAGCTTTAAGGAACTTTTTTTTTCTTCTGAGGGTTCGACCATGCTTGCAAATTCAGGGATGATAATAAAAAGTATTTCATAAATGTCACTGAACAGCTAGCTATTTTACACTTAATATTTAAAAAATGAACCAATTTCATTGAAGTAAATGATTGGAGATCAGATAAGGAAAAAAAAATAAAAATCACTCGCAAAGTTTCATTGACTCTTTTTATAAGTTATAAAACTTTGCCAGAAAATGTCACCAGTGCTTATAGAATGAATGTGCAGAGATGGCATTTTGAATCTAAAGGAGTCACATTTTTTTTCTATGGCATAGACTATATAATTAGGAAAGAATTCAGATAGCAATGGCATAAAGACTGGAGAACAAAGTGACAACGTATTACACATTACTTTTGTGTTAAGCATTACTAGAACAGCGGTAATTACCTGAAAGAAGAAACTCAGTGTTGCTGTTGATAAGCGTTGCGTTTACCCTTCCTGTAGATACATTGTAGCTGTTTACTGTCAAATTCATTGGCTGATTTTTTCCTTTCAAGTTGTAAAAGCCTTTCCATACATAATTCCGAGAAAATATATCATCTGGAACTGGAAATTGAGAATGTTAGAGCTCAACGTGGAAGTGAGAAAATGTGTAATACTGCATCTCCGACTCACTGGAACACAGTGATGTAAAGACTGTGTCCCGTTGTGTCCAAAACAGTGTTAAAAAAGCCTCCACCCCACACACAACCACATGTATTAGTCCTTCATCCTAAACACTTTGGCTTGTACTACCCCTCCACATGGTGAAGGAACAATGCAGTGAATCCAAGACTGAAGAAGTAGACTCAACCTTGTATCGACATTAGGGTTGAGGGAATCTGCCCGGGTTTATGAAAAGTTTTGCAAATCTTGCTTGAAGTTCATAAGGTTTGCAGTGAACTCCACTTAAGTCTTAGGAGTGGTGAATCTAATTATTAAATTCTGCCATTTGTAGGGCTAATAAGCAAGCTGTTGTCAAACAAAGGACATGAGAAACCAGATACTGCCATGGGAGTCATGTACAGATATATAAAAAAAAATTAAATAATAATAATAATAACATAAAATGAAAAACAAATAAAGTGGTGTGAATTTATCAAAACTGGATCAGGCAGAATCTGGAGCAGTTGCCCATGACAACTAATAAGCTTCTCTCTCTGTTCGTTCAATAAACTTTTGAAAATTAAAGATAGAAGTTTATTGCTTGTCATGGAAACTGCTCCAGGTTCTATCTGTCCATTTTTAATACATTTCCCTCAGTATATCTCCATATAGAAATTGCCAGTTCAGTAAGAGCGCCAACACATGCTGACAATATTGTTGCTGTGAGCCCACCCTTTTTAGCAAGGGGGCTGGGTTATCAATTCCTTCAAATTATTGGCTTTGCTGATCAGGATCAAAGACTATGCACAGCATTTAATGGTTGTTCCTTATTTCTGGTGGTGAACCAGCAAAGTTTGCGGCCAAAAGATTGCAGCTTGCGAACTTTGTGAATCCCAAGGATCCGCTGCCAGCCTATGGTAATCTGAACCTCATCCCCTAGTTAAAATAAGAATAATGTTGGATGTTGCCGAAGACAAAATTCTCACCTTGCTTTGTTAAAGGAATAGCCCTGAATATAAAATAATTTAATAACTAAGCCCAGACAGTCAATTTGGCAGCACTGGCACTTGACAGAAGGCACAGTGTGCCTAAAGTAGGCCATATACAGTATATTACAATATAATTTTACAATCTTCTTTAGATTTGCCAAAACTATATGTGAAATGCTTCCTAAAAATTCAGTCTATTTTGTATCCAACCAAGCAGCCTTCTGCACAATATTCTTGTGATATTTGGAGTTTAAGGCGTTTTTACACTCACATGTAGAATCAACCTAAAAGTCTATGGAAGATTCTAAACCTCAGTCAAGTTTAACTAAATGATAACAACAAGAGTCTTAGTCCAGTTGGATCTATATTTAACCAAGAACAGCCTTATATAAAAGCATGAAACTTGTATGTGTGGGTTAAAGTGTGCTAATGTCCAACTTACTGGTTATGATCAACTTAAAAGAAGCTCAGTGTTCAACGTTCGAATACCATAACCAGAGTTTGTCTTTGTCCTTTGTGTTTGTCATTCCCCTGTCTAATTGTCTTTGTTCCAAGCCATAGTATTTTTCTTATATTATTAGACATGAGTGTTCTTATGTCATACATGCCTTTTTCAATAATTGTTCAATAATCTTTGAATATATTTTTGTGATTTATGTTATGTTTATTCGTTATTACTAGAAAATGAATCAAACTTAAATAAATTAAAAAAAAAGATCAGTGCACCTCAATATGCACAATAATGGACCTGCCTCTGTATACTACAACACAGCTAAAACGTACATCCAAATAAGTTTACACATTTCACACAAGACCTTATTCATAGAAGGTATATGGTATATTCATAGTTCTCATATGCTAGTATAGGATTTGCCCTGTGTTGTCTCTGTTCACATAGGAATTAGAAGTGCTGCTACATATATTGGCATATCCTGCTTCTTAAACACACACAAATAAACCAAGCAAACTGAAAGTGATCAAAATGAGGCTCTTAGCATTTATTCCTGGCTCCATTTGAAAGTTCATTTTCACCCAGGGGAGAAATACTAATGAGCTGAGTGGAGCAATACACGAGATGAGAAATGTAGGCTGCAGTACCCATCCATAGTGATGTGGACAAGAACCAGGCAAGGTTTAAATACGTTGTGAAGATACAGCTGCAAATCACTTTTATTGATTTATTGTTGTCACCTGCTTTTCATGGCTTAGATAGGACAGAAGAGTTATCCATATATGCCTGGGATGTGCTCATTATAAAAAAACGGTCTCTATCTTGCGTGTTTGAGGCACGTATCATGCACTGTCACTAGAAGAGGCTTGATATGCAAAGCAGAAATGGGTGTGCTGACTCTGGGTTGTAGTGGAACTAATCATGATGACCCTTCCACCATCTTCTCTAAAGGATCTCCTAATGCAGACTTACCCATTTTTTCAGGCTACTGGGATAGGAATTTGAAACACAACCTTAGTACGCCCGTATGCATAAAGATCAGACCTTATTGTCTGATCTTTGTGCATTATTGCACAACCTAATTGTGCAGTCTCTTCACATTTGCCATCAACTATGCAGTAGTGAGATTGTCTATATACACAATCTATTCTACTTGTATCCAAGTACTAGTAGTAGCCCTGATTGTTGGAAGTTTTAAGAAATTGTACAACCAGACTATAACATGGATGGTTAACATTAAGGAGCTAGTAAATCAGATTTTTAGATGTGTGGCCAGGTTCTACAGATCTGATTTAAAGAGATGTTATCAGCACACCAACAAACCTTTCAGGATAACCATGTGTTCATTTAATAAGAACCATGTCAAGTAAAAACAAGCTCTTTTGGGGCCATGCAGGGTCCCTTCATCAGGCTAAATATTGATCATTGTCATTTGTCAATGTTAAGCCTAGGTTGTGTTGGTGTGCTGGTGACATCTCTTCAAATGATCCATGTAACTAGCGGTGCCATCCGCAGTCACTACAAGCACCCTCCGCTGTCGTTGGGGTATCCGGTAAGGAGTGCAGCAAGTCTCTCTCTATATTCAGGCTCTACAGATATCTAATAAATTAGAAACATCAAGTCGGCTCATGCTGCACAATGATACCACAGGGATTTGCTGCTGTATGCAAATGATCACAACCATTTGTATAAATACTTGTATATCTAAAAAAATACCCAAATGCTTACTAGAACACAGAAGAAACAAATGCATATACTGTACATGAAAAAATAAACTGTGTTTCAGTCTTTTAAACTTAAAGGGTTTCATTTTTTTTACATTTCAGACAATGGTGGAAGCAATTGATGAGCAAATCAATTAGGCTGTTTTGTGAGTAATTAACCTGATCTCTTGTGGGAAAATCTTTTTCACGGTGTGTTAGACTTACAGCTTTGCACATGATTTAGTGAATCATTATAGAGCGGGAATGGCATTACCTTCTTAAGCTGCCAGAAAAGGATATGGTTAATGAAATTTTAAATCTGATGTCAAAGGGGTTTACCAATTTAAAAAAGAAAGCGGAAAACGTCCAAACGTGTCCCTCTTGCGTATTGGCAGGGGCTTCTGTATTACACCACTGATTAGCTATATGTAGCATCTCAGATGCTACATGAAATTACAAGGCTTCTGCAGCAAGGGTACCATATTGGCAAATAAAGGGCTAAGAAGCTTTAGGCTCTTTGTTGACATGTTTTTATTCCCTTCAAGTGGATTTTGCATTCCCATACAAGTCAAAGGAAATACAAACCCTGCTTGTATGAAGGTCAACTACTGGTCAAAAACACCTGCCAACCAATTCTGAATGATATAACAAATTACTCAAACTGATGCCACCAACATAAGCCCAAAGTCCACAGCCCCTAAAGTATTGCAATTACTTTATAATGCCTGTAGTTTTGCCATTGTAACATAACAGGTACTCTTAATAACAGATAGAGTAAACATCATGTACTTAACTTCTGCACACTCTCCCTGATCTGCTGACAGAGTCCTCATAAATTAGTTTTGACCTTCTGAGATGGTCCCTCTTATGCCTTCTCTCTCATCTTCACTTGACAAGACTTGGGCCTAGTGATATGGCAGTGAGGCACAAAGCACTGAATTATGGAAGGTGTGGGTGTGTTACAGGAAGTATCAGTTCTTTTTACTGATCTCCAAGGGTGGATTAGCAAGGGGTACACTGAAAAGGATGGATACTCTGCCTGTTATAATGTAAACCTATTACTTTTCCAGTTATTGACACAAAACAAGTTCACTTTCAGGAGAAACTATTGAAAGAATCTAGCTATGTCAATGTGGCCCATGAAAACTGCCTGTTTAAAGGCGGCATCTGTTGTGGATATTTAAGAGTTTATATATTTGGTGCACCAATAAGGACAAAAAGGCATGCTGGATACAGATTAGATCATGAAAGTTGAAAACTTTAGCAGCAGATGTGGCCAGGTAATCTTTGTTTAGAGAGTCAATGGTCAGCCATGATTACATTTTTCAGCTGCCTACTTTTGTTTTCCATTTAATAAAAATGGCACTTTAGGCACCATGACATTCAAGCTACAATGGATGCATATCATTGAGGAACAGAAAGAATAATTTATTTTATTTGTTATTATTGGTTCAGCTGACCCTTTTTTAAATCATGCAGACAGCTGACAAGTGAGCTGGTCCACAACAGGAGAAAAAGTGTTTTCCAGAAACAATGGAGACCCTGCACATAGGGCAGACGCATAGGTCTGACCCATCCACGTAGTACCATTGAGAGGTCTCCCACTCTCACACCTGCCTTGTAAACAACAGAGGGATCCTAGCCAGCAGGTATACTAATCCTAAACTGTGTAACCACACACAATATTAAGGAGCAGCGACAGTAAGATAAATAAATAATAGAAGATTGTTGCTTACCACTTAATTTTGGACTTGGAGTTCCCATAACTGGTTTGGTTTTATCTTCAAATGGTTTAGAACCAGCTGAAAAAATATACATGTGATACATGGTTTAATATAGTATCATGATGGTGATGATTATTAATATTATTATTATTAATAATAATGTTACTATTATTACCCAAATTATTATGCACCTACAAATTTAGCATTACAGTTTTGTTTTTTTGGGGGGGTGGGGGGGCTTTAAATATGCAATACAATAATGTATAACACAGTGAGCTTCAGCACTTTTTAGAGGCAAATCCTACATTTTTCAAAAGTGTTTATAATTATTTGTTGGGGGGTTATGGTTGTTAGGGGCTTTAAATATGGAATACAATAATGTATAACACAGTGAGCTTCAGCACTTTTTAGAGGCAAATCCTACATTTTTCAAAAGTGTTTATAATTATTTGTTGGGGGGTTATGGTTGTTACACAGGCTGGACTTCAAACATAGCCTTTGTTCATCATTGTATGGGATTAGTAGTTTACACAAGAAAGATTAGAATTAGGTTTTTTTTCTGCCTTTTCAGCCCATGGGAAATGACAAAACACTGGGGGGTATCCATGAAAACTGGGGCAAATAACCTATTAGCTTCTATCTTCAGTTTCTTCAGTCAACCTTTGAAAAGGAAAGGAGACAAGCTGATTGGTTGCCATGGGCAACGGCTCCAGATTCTGTCTGCTCCAATTTTTATGCATTCCCCCACTGTGTTTTTGGCAAGATCAACAGGTATTTTCTGTACTTGATGAAAACATTCTTAGAGTAAAAAAAGAAAACTAATGCAGCCACCTTCAGGGTAAAGCACTGCTACGTTGCAATATACTACATTTTTATTTTTGGGTTTAGATACACTTTAAAGGAGATCTCCAAAAAATATCTATGGAGATGATATTGGGAGGTAAGCGTATTGTATTAATCACATTTACCTCCGTGCTGTCCTTTCCCAGGACAATGCTTCTGGTTCACTTTTTGCTTCCTGTCTATGCTCCTTCAATTTTTGATCCCTGCTATTTTATGAATAGAATTAGCTGCTGCAAATAGTGGTCCCCTAGGCTTACATTGCAGTAATTAATTCAATCGATAAATTAGCAAGTACAGAAAGAAGAGACCATAGAGGTCAACAGCATTGCTCTAACAGTACTGATATTGGAACATCTGTAATTTGTAAAGGACAGCATAGTGGTAAGAGCAACTAACACATTGCACTGACTTCCTGCTGCACTGTCCTTAGATATTTACTGAAGCTCTTTATCATTAAAATAACAATTGTAACCTAAATATGGCCACAGGGAAAGGAAGCTTAGATTTTCTGAGCTTTTATAAAGTGATTCTATATGTGTGTTCATTATACCTTTCTTCAATGTTCACTACAAAAAAATGTGAGTATCATATATAATATAATTACATTACATCTATGCGTATGAAAGACATTCTTCATTATCCCTCTCTGATGGACAAATGTACACATATAAAAAAAAAAAGAAAACATTTTCCTCGTAGTATTTTTTTCCTGCCAAGCAGGAATAATTCAAATTTCTGGAGACAAGTAATATTACATTACCTGTGCAAACGGGAACTTTTCCGCTCCATGTGTTATCTGGCTGGCATATTCTGTGCTCAGTGCCTCCTGAGAGAAGATATCCTGGCTGGCAAGTGTAAATTAATGTATAACCCAGTGATGGAAGATCTATTCCAACTACATTTGAATGTAATGGAGACTCTGGCTGCTTGCAGCTGTGGGCTGTTAAACAAAAAAAAACGATAACTGATAGAGCATGAAAACTCATTAATAGCATTTGTATATGAAGCGCCAATAGAGCTGCACTGACTGGAAAGTAATTGTATTATTTACACACAACATGTAATACAACTAGGAGATGATATATTACTATGGAGCCTTTTTTTCTTTAACTGTATTTTCTCCCCGTGTAAGTTTTTCAAGCAGAAATGTATCATACATATGCATTTAATACATATTTTCCCAACGTACAATGTATAGGTGTATTCCTTTTTTTTCTAGGGAGAGAATTGTTCTTCTGTCTTCGTGGCTTTGAATAGTGTTCATGGGTTTTGCCCCAATTATAGGTGGGCTTAGTTTATCCTAGTAAACTCGGGCTGGAGTTTTGAGTCAGTACAAACATAATGGTGGAAATATATCTGTGTATACAGATATAATTTACAGGAGGTGCCAAAGGTCATTTAAAGAGGTAGCGCATGACCATACAACACAGTTACAAAATACTACCAACTTACGAATGCACTCAGTGGGCAAGCCATTCCAGGTGAGATCAGGAAGACATGTACGGCTGGTGGATCCATGCAGTAGATAGCCTTTCTTGCAAGAGAACTGAACAACTCTTCCCACCTTAGTATTAATGGAAAAAAAGAATAAAGTGATTTTACATTGCTTTCTTGTTTCAAGTATTATGTTCCTTGCTACAAAAGGTCCCCCATAGACTGTTCAATTGTTTTCTGATTTAGAAAGAAATCTGAGCCATGGTTGACCCTGCAAGCACCTCCAGGCTCAACAGAAGTATTATGTTCTTTGCTACAAAAATTTGAAATTGTATACATTTAGTCAAGTAAGAGGCAAAGTTAAGGAGAATACCATAGACCCCCATAGACTATTATTATTACTATTATACAGGATTTATATAGCACCAACAATTTGCGCAGCATTTACAAAACTGAGGTATACAATATAGCTAACAATATAATTTCAGTACAGGAGGTAAGAGGACTGTTCAAACTTTGTCTGATTTAGAAAAAAATTTGCGCCATGGATGACCCTGCAAGCACCATCAGGCTCAACAGAAGTCCATTAAAGAATCAAGTGAGCTGGATAAAAAAAATATTGGCTATACAATAACTGCATCCTATCAGATCCAGTCCCTGTTTGACAGTGCCATGGGTGCCACAGCTCCTAAAATACATTAGCCAGCAGCAGAGATTCCTCCATCTACACTGTTAGTGATTTATCTCGTTCAACATGCAAGCTGACAAAGAGAAATTCATGCCATGTATGGTGGCTTTATAGTGTGTCACTTGAGTGACAGCTCTGAGTCTACTGGGGCTGTTGAGGTTACATCCAAGTTGGAGGCACCAAGCAGCAGTCTCAGGACCTTTGGATGTCTACACAAGACAGGCTTTTACAGGTAAAAATAAATGTCTAAAATACATTAAATACACATATGACCTTATAGGAAGATTGTTACTAAAATTAATGGTCTGGTGACTGGTTCTCTTTAAAATATGTATTCTTATAGATAAAAAGCAATACTTAACGCATACCTGATAGCCATATGTGTTATTTTGGAATCCATGACGAGGCGTGCCTGGGTTGTCACAAGATGTCCATGCGGGCTCTTAGAAATAGAAAACCATAGACATGTAAGACAAACTGTCACAGCAAATCTTTTTTTTTGAAGATCCATATTCTAAAGTAAACATCATAGGGTATTCTTATCTAGCACCGGGAAACAGATAGTTATCTTCTATGCTGAGGTTTAAAAGAACGATTTGCTCAACTTTGTTTTCTGCACATCTCAAACACTAAAAAAAAATCCTCTTAGCTTTTTGTTCACACTTTTCGCTTCTCACTTCTTTTATGTTATGTAGCTCTCTATTTCATCAGATGCTAAAAGAGAAGCCCCTGGTATATGTCATTTTATCTAAAGTACCCCCAGAAGACTGTGTGCGTTACCTAGCATGTTTGAACATATTCCTAAGCGATCCTCTGATAAAAATATACCTACAAAGCTCACTTCGAATAAAAGATATTATTTGCAAAAAAATTGAAAACTGTCACTCTGAATTTCATTTTGCAAGGAGAAGTACTGATCTTGTCATAGGCACTTCAAGAGCTACAAATATATACTAATAAATGTATATATTTTCGCCTTCTCCCTATGTAGATTAGGTAGCTACGAGGACTTTGGGAAAAAGTAAGCAAAAAATGAGCTTTTTCCACATATATTTGTCTACAAGTTTAGCTTTTTTTGGCATATCTATTTAGAATCACAAAGATTTAAAATAAGGATAAGCATGTGTATGCCCAGCAATGTGACATTAACTTTCAAATCTATTGGCTCTCATCAACAAAAAAAACACCACTTTTTGGAAATAAGCATCATTATCCTTGTGTATACGCTTTGCAAGTCTATTATATTATACTACCGTTGCTCTTGCCTGCATTTGGTCTTCATATGCTATCTAATGCTATATGCTATTTAACCAGACATGTACAAATCAAAAAAACTTGTTTTCATTTGTTTCGTCAAAGGAAACACATTTTTATGTTGTTTCAGATTCGGAGGCAACGAGCCTCCGAATCTGAAACCGCACACTGAAACCGCAGAACGAGTGGTGGCCATATTGGCCGCCGGCTCGTTCTGCGCATGTGCGCCACCATCTTGCAGTAGATCTTGGTATACACCCGCATGTTCGAGCACCGCCATCTTGGTGTAGACCTAGATCTACTCCATGTGATCTACTAATAGTACTAGGTCTACTACTTCTGCATGTGTAGAACGCACCGGTGGCTGATCTGGCCGATGCGCGTTCAGCGTGTGACGTCATATGCTTCGCCTCCAAGATGTCGGTGGGCATGTGCAGAACACAATATGGCCCCTGGTGTGTTCTGAAAACAAATTAATGTATGCCCGAATATTGTTTTAGTATATTCGAGCATATATTACATTTTTTATTTCAGATTCGGACGAACCGCAGAATCAACTGATTTTCGTTGATTTGCAGGTTCGTCTGAATCCGAATGCACATGTCTACTAACTTCCCATTTATCATTTCCTATTCCCTCTGGCAACTGCAATAGAAGACCGGACGTTTGTGCGGTAGAGGCTCTGATTGGAAGTTCAAGCATCCAATCTGAGGCTCCCTTTGACACAAATCATGTCCTTTGCCAGAGCAAGAAGAAGAGGAATTGATGCAGCTGCCACTGGAACTTAGTAACAGAAGTAAGTAGTTGGGGGACCCTTTTTTAAGCACCCACAAGGAGGGAGCAGAAGACCTACAGGTCTATTCACAAAAGAGTTTGGAGAAGGCAGGAGAAGTGAACAATCTAGGACAACATAGCTGAACTGGAAAGTGAGCAAGCAAGGGGAGGGGCGAGCGTTCACCCCCCTTCCCTGCACCTTACCAGGTCACCTGACAAGGGCCTCTTCCCCACAACTCTGGCCCGGTGGTTGTGTGCAGGCAAAGGGGCTTATAGGAATCTGGGTGCCCCCTTTAATAAATGTATATATTTTTGATAAAGGGGCACCCAGATGCCCACCCCCCAGGTGAATGAGTAAAGGGTAAATTAAATGATACCCCTACTCATTCACCAAATAAACATTCAAAAGCAACACCAAACACAGTTTTTGACAATCCTTTATAAAAAAAAAGAAAAAAGCAAACTAGAAGTCCCATGATGTAAATCCAGGATTGATCACGTTGTCCAGTGATGTAAATCCTTCCGCTCCTTAATGCCTGAAGCTTGCCAACCCGATAAAACAAAAAATCCGGCTCCTCGCTGCCTTAACGGAACCTTTGTTTACAGCAGCAGTGAGCAAAAAATAAACAGCCTGCCATTGGCTATTTCAAATTGCAATTGCACCCCACAGTGATGTCATAATGCGATGTACCGCTGTTACCTGCCGGCAGCCATCTTGGTGATGGATGCCAGCAGAGAGAGGAGGGGAAGTCACCCAGCGGGATAAGGAATGCCGCCGGGTCCCCTCCTCTCTCTCTCTCTCTCCCTCAAGCAACTGTCGGGCTCTCAGTCCTTGACCGAGTACCGGACTTTTCAGAGGGGGGTGACAACCAAATGACTCTCAGTCATTTTGGTGTCACCGCTCCAATGGTGTCTCCCCTTCAATGGTGTCACCCGGTGCAAGCCGCACCTCCTGCACCCCCCTTGTGACGTCACTGCCGCCACCCAACCTCCCCTTTGCTCTATTTCTCTTTATTGTGATTAAATTGTATTTAAACCAAATAAAGGGGACACGGCCTAAAGTTTTCCCACAACCCTTGTTGTGTGTTTACCTTATAAATTAGGTATGTGGTTATGGACAGTAGGTGTTAATGAGTGGTACAATCTCATTGTGTTTATTAGCAGATGTTGTGTGTTTTTTAGATTTGACTTCTTTTATCTGCCACAATGTAAGACCTCACAGTAGTGAACTGAATAGGGTGTCACTGTTTGCCTTGTAAACCCGGAATGTACTTTACCTATACAGCGGGGAGGAAAACGGCTCCAAGTTCCATCTGCTTGGCATATTCTCGTGTCAGAACCAACCAAGATGTAAGGTGCACTGCATACAAAAGACACTTCTGACTGGTAAATGAAGCTTTTGCCCTCTCGTTTGCCGTTTGATGGTATCCCAGGATCACCACAAAATTTGGCTGCAGGAGGAAGAGAAAGTGACTGTTAAATATTCATAAATGTTGTTATTTGTGTAAAATGACTTTGCAGTGCTAGTACACCAAAACCATTGGAAATATTTAGATATATCTTTTCCAGTCTCTGTTCACACATCTGCGGTCCATTGTGTGTTTTACATGCATTTATTCCTATGTAACCCACACTTTGCCAGGAACAGAAACAAAGATACTGCAGGCAGGATTTTAGTACAACACACCTAAAAGTCACATGTGTAAATACAGCCTAAAGGGAGCATTTTTTTAGTAAACTGTATTTCTCATACAGTGGCACACTGCAGGCACACACTCCAATAGCTTATTGCTGGGCTTCAGGAGCCCAGAAATGACAGCTATGGGACCGGAAGTGATGCAATACACGTCGCTCCTGGTCCCATAGAATAGGGAGGAGATCGGTGAATTGACGTTCACCGCGCTCCTCTCCAGCTTCCCCCCGACACCTGAAAGGCCGGTCCCTGGCCTGTAGGAGGGACAGCGGAGCCCTGGAAACATGGCTGGGGTGTTGGGCAGTTTACCAGATCGTAGAAGCAATCTGGTGCCAACTGAGCAACCAGAATCACTTTGACTGTAAAGCTGGTCGCCGGCTCTACAATTATGAACAGAGTCCCGGCAGCTAAAAGCCACCTGGAGTCTGTTTGACCCCTTCACAATTCATGACGAGATTAAGGACCAAATACACTTGTCCATTTTGATGCAGCAAACCTCCTGCATTTTGCCACGTGATAATGCAGGTCACCTAGAAATCCCATTATTTCCGTTGTGGCTGGTTTACATCTATGCACTGCAGTTAAGTCTGAAGGACAAATGGAAACTTTATTGACCCATTCTGACCTACATCTGTGCATTACCAGCATAAGTCTCTGTTCACACTTGTTCTGTATTGCGTTGTATAGTTGTGTTTTTTGAGCAACCTTGAATCATGTGCCTCATTGCATGTTTTATGATAGTAGCCACAAGTACTGCCACTCTTTTGATAGAACCATCCCAATCAGTATAAAGTTCACCGGCAATATCTTCCCAGGCCCACTGCTGCTTGTAGTGATTCTTGTAGTTGTGGTCGCTGGGATCATACAGCAATGTCTTTGCCCTCATCAGCTGTATTAGTTCTTCTACATCTAGCATGATGAGACCTGCTCCGTTCATTTTCCTATGCAGCCTGGCTAGACTTAGATGTTGCTAGGAGAAAAAAAGCTGTTTTTTATGTGCAAACATGCACCAAAAATACGCTAAAGTGCATGTTTTGCAATGCACACTCCAAGCCCTCATTCACACGAGAAACAGCTGGCCCATACAGATCCGTGCTGCGTGCTCGGCCATATCGGGCCGCTCCCGGGGAGGACAGGTGATGTGTGTAATTACACGCAGCAGCCTGTCCTTCTCTATGGGAGTATGCGGTCGTACACCGCCCTACGCTCACCCGACCTGCACGTCCGTACGGGTGTGGGTGTCCGTACTCGTACGCTGACAGGATGGAACCAGAGTGAATGGGACTAAGTTTGCATAGAATAAGTAAAAAAACATATAATCCTCTATATATTTTTTCCTATAATCTCAGCAGCTGTTTTTAAAGTGACACTAAACTCAAGAGTTGAATCATAAAAATGCATTCAAGTACCTGACTTTTAACTAGGGTTGCACAGATACCAAGTACAGTAGTCAGTACAAGTACGAGTATATGTACAGATACTTTTGAGCTCCAAGACTCGACTAGAGAAAATTTCGAAAATTAGGAGGCAGCTATTATGTGTAAGGAGCACACGGAGCTCCTGGGATTTGTACATCTCTGTTTTAATGTACGATTTTGTTTTTATCAATATAAATAAAGGGACGCACAGATACCAGTTTTGCGAGTACGAGTACTGGTACTTGCCGAGTACTTACAAGTACGAGTACTGATACATTTTTGTTTATTGTCATGTGACAGTTTTTCTAAAACAATACAGACTAATGATTTCAGGACAGTGGTGGAGTGCCAGAGCCAGGTCCCAGCTGCAACCGCTGCAACCCTGGTAGTTCTCATGAAAATGCCAAGTATCTGCACTGGTACTCGAAAAGTATCTGTGCATCCCTACTTTTAACAAAAATGCATCTTATTTGTGGACTGCCTTAATGTAATGCACACTAACATGTGCGCAATAACACAACTCAAGTGTGAACAACGCAAGTGTTATATGTCAAATAAAATATTTAGTACAATATATTTTAATTACAATTTATTTGTACTTATAATTTAGAACTCTGTTTTTTTAAATTTCCTTTAACAAGCAGAAGTACACCCAGAGGATACCACAAGTTCCCCTTGGAGTATTCGTACCATTGCCCAGCAAACAGCATGACTTGGAAAAGTTTCTGTTCATTTGAGAATAGAGCTTCTGTAGTAACACAGTGCTAGACATGTGCTAGATCATACCGAGATGAATATATTTTAGACAACTTTTAATTAGGTAGTGAGAACTAGATCGGTCATTTGGCTTTTGTCTGTTGTCAAACTCTACTTTTCATTAATAGTGTCCTGCAGAGGCTGTCCTAAAAATCTGAGCAAATAAGGCTGTAATTTTTAGATATTTAATTCACTCTGGTTTTACGCCTCCTGTACCACAGTGGGAAACATGTTAAAAATGTATACAGGAAAATATAGCTGCCACAGAATTAATTTAATATTATAAAGCTTAGAGGGAAAAAAAAACTGCCAGTGTTTTCCAAAGTATAGAAACCTTATCTAAAAGTGGTTTTCTGTGAGACAAACCTCCCAACAGAATTTGTTCACTCTAGTAAGTGCTAGGGATGAGCGGGATGATTTTACCAAAATGTATTTCACCATAAAGTTACTGATTTCTGATACCTTTTATGATATGTTCATTAGATGATGAAAACTGCAGATTGTAGAGTAGAAATGATCTTTGGGAGCAGTTTTTATAAAAAGGTAGGCGACAGGCAAAGGTCCAGTCACTAGTATTGCCTTAGGTCTCTCTTCTTTACTTTTCGTTACTGACTTACCATGCCTTGGTCTGTATTGTGTCTATGTAAGGAAGGGACCTTTCTTAGTAAAGGCAGTGCTTTGGTCCCTTGTCTCAGAGCCTCCAGCAAGGAGAACAGTGAACAAAGCATTTGTGACAGCGCCAAATCTCACTCCAAAACTCTTGTGAGACTAGTAACCAGAGGCAGCTGTGGTTCAGATCTCAAGTAGAAGATTTCCAGTTATGAAGCTTTAGGCCACCACACTGACAGGTGTAGGACGTAGGCTTTCCTACCCTGCAACTTCCATTACACCACCAATGGTCTTTGTCCATCTTCACTATTGCTGGTATACCTTGTGGAGACTGGTGTCCCCACCTTCTAACACTGGATGGGCTAGGCCCATCATAATCCTAATGCTGAATATTTAGCTTTTCCGTGTGTGGTGGCGTTCCATTGTTGGCCCTAGTTTAACCCTCCCAACTTTAGCAGATACTTGTAATATCTTGGCTCACCGCAAGCACACCTAAAATACTCTTAAGAAAGCGGAGTGATCTCTGTTAAACACGTAGAGTACAACCTTCTCTGAATTTGAATGCTTCAAATGTACTAATCTGAGGGGGCTACCTACAGGGTGTTAATAATTGTTGCATATTTGAGCCAAACTACCAGTTCAGTTGCTCTACGTTTTTTATCACTCCAATTGTATACTTTCTATATAAATAAAGAACATTGTTTTAATCATAATGTTTGTTTGTGCGTGACTGAGAAGTACACAATTTCTTTTCTTTTTTTAAGGGTTGTTCAAGTTTTAGGCACATGAATACATACCAGGAAGTGCAATGCTATTTCTGCAGGAATATAAGACAAAAGATACATTTTTCAGGGGACTGCACAGGCACAACTTATAGTTCTAAATGTTCCCAATAACATAGTAATTACAGTTTGAGTTTAGATCCACTTTAATATACTGACTATAATAGTTTTATATGTTATACATTTTATAAGTTATATCATTTTTGGAAATGCATCAACATGTGATGACTTACTGTATATGAAATTTTTGTTTACATCTACTGTACCTGTATATCAAAATGCGGCAATGCATGTGCCTCAAAGTGCTTTATTGTGAAATGCGGCAAGTTGGGTGATCACTCAATCATTCCTTTTAAAATCACTTCTCCTCTATTTTTTTTTTTACTGTAACGCACATCAAGTGCAGTGCAATGCAACTGAGGTGCTTTCTGTATGTGCATTGGGATGCTATTCATAATGCACATACACAGCACATTGCAGTTCATTACTGTAAAGTGCATTATTATGTGAGACTGGGCTCTTAGCCATTACCCTAAGTATATTTAGCAATATTACAAAACTACCAGAAAGCATCGACTCTCCATTTGGGTTGCTTAGAGGATAGTTACATAGTTACATAGTATTTGAGGTTGAATAAAGACATAAGTCTATCAAGTCCAACCTCATGTGTGTATGCATTTATATTTGAGCTGGTGTGTGGTGTGTATGAATAGTTTTTGAACGCCAATACTGTCTCCTCCATTTTATACTTAGTAAATGCCACTTTCTTTTCCTTAATGCGTTGTTTTACTGTTTTATTTAGCCATATGAGCTTTGTTTTTGATCTTTTACTTTTGTTCCCCAACGGTATACACTTTGTAATTGCATTTTTTAATTTGTTCATGAAACAGTCCCACATTTTTAGGAGATTTACCTCCTATTTTGTCATTCGTACCGATGTGCACCATGACAACTGGGTCGTGGCCAACCCCATCTAGTAACCTGTCAATTTGTTCCGCAATGTGCTGAGCATGCGCCCCCGGTAAGCAGGACACTGTTCGACGCTCACGGTCCCGATGACAGATTACCCTGTCAGTTTGCCTGATGATGGAATCTCCCACCACCAGGATCTGCCTCTCTTGACCCTCCATCCGGCTCCCATCCTTGCTGGAGCAATCACTCCCCCTGTGGATAGAGGAGGCATCCTGCTCCAG